CTATTGTGTTGGAGGCCATCGCTATTGTGTTGGAGGCCATCGCTATTAGGTTGGAGGCCATCGCTATTAGGTTGGAGGCCATCGCTATTGGGTTGGAGGCCATCGCTAGGAGGTTGGAGATGTATTTCTTTTGCTTTTTGAAGGCACCAGACCCGAAAGAGGCACATCTCATCATAAGCGGGTGTGACATGTCGGTTTCTACTCTGAAAAAGAGCATGTAGATTTTTAGGTTGTCTATGAGATTCCTCCAGTCCAAGTGAAACCCTTCGGCTTCCACGAACCGCCACACCTTTCGGGCCATTCGAACCCACCGGCTGCCTGTGTCCGGTCCAAACGTGGGTCAGGCCGGAGAACATCCGGATGCTCCCGCGCATCCATATCTTCCAGGGCACCGCTTTGTCGGACATCGATCTGCGGCTCAGTCGCAAGGGATGGGCAGCAAAACGTGTCCACCTAAGCATGAAGTTCTGTCAACTTGAGAGGTTGGCATAGAATGGCAGAAAAGATTTGCAGTTCTGTTGGCTAATGGGTTAAGTGAAGGGTTTCCTCCGCGATTCTGGTTTCTCCTTCCTGTTCGTATGGATGCGCCGCAGCACTTGATGCTTGGATTCTAGATCTATGCCTGGAACTTCTAGGCCTGCTGTTTTGAGCCAATCAAGCACAGCAGAAACGATGAGAATCGCCAGTGAGCCAGATTGACACGCTTCCAGCAATCTTTTGCTCTTGCAGTGATCCCATGTCCTGTAACTAGTATCATCACATTGTCTTGAGGTCTCTTGATCTCACGCCACATTCATTTTCAGGTGCACACCCCGCAATATCCATAGCATTCCAATTCAACGCTGTTGAACAGTGCACGATCGATGGAGGGTGCACAGCGGTGGCACAGCCCATCCGTCTCATTTCGGAAGGTGCTTCCGTTGCTTTTGCTTCCGGTGCTTCCGGGAGCCTTTCTTCTTTTCGGCCGCCTGAAAGGCCGCCTTGGCCTTTCTCGAACGACCCGTTGGGGTGGACGAAGCAGGCAGGGCAGGCAGGGCTTGGGTGAAGATCTGCCGGTGCTGCCGGGCTTCGCCGTCTTGGTGGACTTTGAGATGTCCAAGGCCAGCGTCATCGACGGGTGGACCTGAGGTGGACCTGAGGCCACCAGAAACTTAAAGTCGAAATCGTTTGCAAGACATGTATGTTCATGTATGTCTTTAAAGCAACATGGCATATTCATGGCTTATCCCACATTCTTGAACGAGGCTGAGGATGGCGAGCGATTGACGTGGAAGGACATGCCCAGTCCACTGAAGTTTGTCGCAGACGCTGGAGAGGTTCCCACGTTGTTGGATAAGGCAGTTGTGGGTATGGTCCCGGGCGAAAGCAAGCGGCTGTTAGCATATGGAGAGCCAGAGGAAGGAACGAATGAAGTTTGGGACTTTTCCAATGAAAAGACACCACCCTGCGATATGCCAGTGATGCTCGATATCACACTTCTAAAGGCCCGCCTCGAGCAGAATGCGGATGGCGTTTCCGTGAAGACGTTAAGGCCTGGTGATGGCCGTACGTTCCCACAAGTGGGCGACCGGATCTCAGTGCAGTACACAGGGAGGCTGGCCAGTGGGAAGAAGTTTGACTCCACCTACGACCGACGAGGAGTGGCATTCACCTTCCGTGTGGGCTTGGGGAAAGTGATTCCTGGATGGGACCTGGCTTTGATGAAGCTTTCCCTCGGGGAGAAAGCGCTTCTGACCATCCCATCAGCCTTGGCGTATGGACCGAAGGGATACGGAAAACTGATTCCTCCGAACTCCGATTTGATCTTTGAGGTCCACTTGGAAAAGGTGAGCCGATACAGCTTTTAGACGGACTCCCAGAAACAGCCGTCGCACGACACCGACGAGGCAGACGAAACACAGATCTGGTGCAGCTTCGCCCTGCCGGCCTAGCAGGATTTGGTGCCATTCGTCGTGAAACGCATGACGAGCGGACCGAGCGGATGTGGCAGAACGGATGACAAACATCCTGCAATGGGAAAAAGACATCAACCGTCGCAGCAAAGGGCCGCGGTTGAGACGTTCGGTGGATTCACATTCTTCCAATGACACAATGTGACACTGTGACATAGATTTTTTGCAAAGTATCTGGCAGATCTGATGGATGTTGCTTAAGTTTCACTTGTTTTGCCACTCCCCAAGCTCAAACCTGACCCATTCCGACCATTCCCCCAGCCTTGCCCAGCGAAGCAGCGCTGCTTTTCCCGAGGAATCGAGTCACCATCAGCGCTGCCACCTGTGTGTCGGGGACTTGAAGGACCCTCATTCATTTGGTCTGAGGGTAAAGAGGCTTACTACTAGGAGCAAGGACGCTACTAGGGGCTCCTGGCCTCGCTATTAGGAGCAAGGACGTTTTGCCCCATCCAATCCTCCTCGCTGGGAAGTGGATGAAGCGTTGGAAGCATGAAAAACGCATGCATCCTGAAGCCATTTCGCTTCTGCGCTGAAGAGTCTCGGGTGGAGTCTGTCGAGTCGGAGGATTTGTTGAGACACTCTTGCTACGGAGAGCGATGCCAGGAGCTCCATTCGTAGCGTCCGATCGCTCCGTTCGTAGCGATGCCCTTTGCTCCTAGTAGCTTCTTGCTACGAATAGTGATGCCGTGTCACTAGTTACCAGTACTTTTGCAGTTGGCCTGTGAGTTCTCTTGTCGTGAAGGCTTGTGGACCATGAGTGCTGAGGTTTATCCTGCCAAACTTGCTGTGTCCCAGCGTGATGCAGGAGGAGACTTTGGTTTCTTTTGTGTGAGAGTGTTCAGAAGAAGTCTAGTAACTGTATATTATCGTAACAGCGGGGTGCAGGTCATAGGACTTGCCAATTTTCCCCCCAGTCTTGGAATCCAGTCTGGGTCCCGTCATCTTTGCCAGACCTGTGGCTGTTCTTTCCATGGCTTTTCTAGATTTCTGCAAGGTTTGGTGTCCCTCTTCTGCTTTTAGGTTTTCGTTTCATTGTTCTTCATCACTTCACCACTGAACAACTCCACTTGTAGGTGTGGACTACCCCCCCCAATCTATTTCAGTCAGTTTTGCATTGGTCTTCCTTCAGTTTGGAGAGCCCCGAACAGGAGAGGAACACCAGGAAAGCAAAAAAACCGGTGAAGCTGCCCAAACACGGAAAACCATCAATTCCTGCCGATCGAGCTGAGCTCGGGTGCCGTTTCCTGTTGTGCTCGTTTGCAGGATACTGAAAACATTATCCGCATGATTGCCGTTCAGAAATTTGTGCCAAGGGCGGCTTGGCACCAATTGGATGTGAATCGAGCAGCTGTGTGGCCCTTGTTCTTGTCTGCAGAGGTCACATCCACTTGCTCTCCTTGTCTACTGACTTGGAGATTCCAAGCTTTCAAAGAAAGAGAAGAGGGTCTCAACAATTTTCACACACAAACATGGCCAAAATGACTGGACTTTCCACACATCGCTGAGAAGCCATCCAAAAGCCACCCGGCAGTTCCCGCCCGCAGCGGCTGTTCCCGCGGTTTCGCTCGAGGTGCGCTTCATCTTGTTGCTCCTGAGAGCGGAGAACCGGAAGCTCCTCACAGAGGCGCGGAGTGTTTCTTCCCAAAGTTGGAGGCCATCGCGACTAGGTTGGAGGCCATCGCTTCTAGGTTGGAGGCCATCGTTCTTGGGTTGGAGGCCATCGCGATTAGGTTGGAGGCCATCGCAATTAGGTTGGAGGACGTTGTTCTTA